TTTTATTTTCTTATTTGGGACGAGGCCGGTACTGGTCTTCGGGACCGGTTGTGACCCGAGATCCTTGTCCAGTGGATACACCACTGAACTGTTGAAGTACARCMTGYGTTCGAGCTCARACAATGGGACTTGGCAWGTAAGACCAAAGTTATTCTGAGTTACCTGAGGCWGGTCAGTCGATGAYGATGTCCCAAGGACGMGGCTCCCAGCTAGTCCTTCGGRACATCCGTTRAAATTSGAACGATACAGASAWGATTAGCATGGCCCYTGCGCAAGGAAGACATGCATGAAACGGTAGAGAACCTGACGGTCGGGAAATCTCAGCAGGGGTATCTATCCACCAGCTGAAGATCAGTGGTGAGAGGTTTGAGAGTGAGTGTGACCATTGGGTGTGGCAAGGTGCAGGAGCAGTTACACAAATTTTGTCAAGGCCCCACAATACCAGGGACAGCCACGTGTGACCTGAGCTATGCCCAAAAAGAAGAAAAAAAAAGAGAAAAAAAAAACTTTTTTTTTACCTGTCCCAAATCTGCATATTTTGCAGATTTGGGGTCGCAGGGTGAGCACTGGCATTACCATGGGGACCAGAAAAATGGTGGACTATGCCTGGGCACAATGAGCAGGGCACAGTCAGGGGAGGGCCTACGTCCGCTGCCCCACGATCCACTKTGAGGAATGGATATGAGCATGCTCGTCRGGGGGCSGTAGTAGGGAAGCTACGCCTGGGCACARYAGACCGGAGGGATYCTGGTGGGGGYTGCAGCAAGGYTAGCAGGTACCAGCAAGCTAGCTTGGGTGGCACACTCACGGGCTATTAAAATGTAGATCGACAGTTCGCTCCGGAGAAGGGGTCTACGTATGTGTTGCCACGACCCCATTGATTAGGTGTCTCACCAATACCAATTTTTATGTACTATTATTATTATTTTTAATTATCAGCCCCTGTTCTCCTTTTAGGGACTGCACTGCAGTCWTTTCTCAKATGGAYGGACCTACTGCCTAGGTTTGGGCAGATTCGTTCAAACAAGGGGAAATGGTAGTGATGCATCCTTTGAGTGAGGCACGAGTAAGCTATGTGGACATACCTTTCTAGGCTATATAAGACAGCACGGTCCGGTGACCAGGACTTCATGTCCRTTCASGTATTCAAGGYGGGTGGACTGTGCGCTATTATCCAGGCATACCTTGACTGGCGGGAGAGGCTTGTGGAGCAGCGGGCTACGAGGGAGAAGAGGGGGAGGAGACGATGAGGGAGAGGATCATGACGAAGAAGAGAGGAGTGGGGTACTGGCTTAGAGGCAGGACGAATCCAAGTACAAAGCTAGATTTCTAAATTAGATGAGAGGTAGTGAGGAAGAAGGAGAAACGAGTGGGCGGAAGAGTTGGGAAGAGAGAAGAAAGAGTGGACAAGAAAGAGAAAAAGATCGTATCTCGTTCAATTCTTGACGGAAATGAGCAAACAAAGAGGTGAATCTGAGGTTTTCGGGCACTCTAGATCAGATGGCCATGCCAGATTTTGGTTCTGAGCAACGTATTTTGTGTTACCAGGGATAAGGGCTGCGCGACATGAGGACGAAGATGGCTATGGCGGGGACGGAAATTTTATATCTCATTCCATACTGAATGGAATCGAGTGGAGGGAGAGGAGATCCCAGGATATTTTGGTAGGGCGAATCCGTTGGAAGGGCTAGGTTTCATGATCAGTTAGTAGAACGGGAGAAAACCGATAAACAGGGTGTGTGACAGTTTCAAAGAGGAGAATGCGGTGTGAAAAAAAAAAGGGATATCTCTCTCCTTTATGAGCTAGCCAGGGCGAGGGGAGAGTCTATACCGGGGTTTTTTGGCATGACGAACGTAATGGTAGCATTGGATCTCGCATCTGAGCAGCAGGTTGGCCAAAATCATCCATAGAGGCTGCGTGAATTGCAAGCGGGGATGAGTGAGAAATGGCGAGATAGGGTGTGAGTCTTTCAAGTATTATCGGTGGAAAGTTCATCTTTGCCACAGCGCTGCCTGCTGTGTCCATGGTTGTACTTGTTGTTGGTATTGGTCTCGACACCAATGCTGTCTCCTCACCTTCAACATCGGCGTGGAAGTGTTCTTTGTTGTGATGGCCTTGCTGCTAACAATATGCGTCTCTACCAAGTCACGAACGAGCATGCACAAGAGAAGGAGCGCAGGCAAAAGGAAAGAATAAGGGAATCGGGCTACATACCTGGCTGGAGGCTAGCGGAGCTAAAGAGAACAAAGTGATGCTTTCTCCATGTTCTAGCGTAAGATTCAGTTTCTATACTCGGTGAGTCATAGGACTGAAGTACGGGTGTTCGCGTGTATGGGGCACGATCTATACGCACTTATTTTGAACTGCCAGAGACTGATCAGGGTCGCGGTAAAATCATGTGAGAACGGGATATGAGAGAGAGAGAGAGAGAGAGAGAGAGAGAGAGAGAGAGAGAGAGAGAGAGAGAGAGAGAGAGAGAGAGAGAGAGAGAGAGAGAGAGA